AGAATTGGATTGTTTAGCGTTTATTGATGTTATGAAGTCGATTATGTCTAGATACAATTGATTTGGAGCCGAATTCAAAAGGAAAGGCGGTGTTTGAGGCTTGAGTTACCCGTGGAAGTTCGAGATAAATGTTTGGTCTAACCTTAGCTTAAGGGATTAAGAGTTGTGTCCTATTTGCTATTTGCTTCTTGTTGAGTACGACGTATAAGCATGGTGATGAGTATCTATACGTTGGTGTCGAGCGTGACCGTGAGTTTTAAATTGCAACTTGTTGTGTTCTTAAATGATATTACAGACGCTTTAATTGATGACTCTCTATAGTGAGCAAGGAATAAGTTTGTTTTCGTGGGAATTACGAAGTTTGAGTATTGGTGATAGCTAAAATGGTTAGATGTTGGATTAAGATTGGTTATAGTTGTTTCTCCCTGGTCGGGACGTATTTATTTATGTTGTCGATTCCCTTGCCGGGATAGTGAGTTCGTTATTGATCCCTTGCCGGGACTATGGTTATGATTATTATTGAATGTATATTTGGAATGGGTTGCGTGCCGCAACATTATTATATATGGATCGGGTTGGGCACCGCAACATTATTATATATGGATTGGGTTGCACGCCACAACAATGTTATATTGGATCGGGTTGCACGCCACGACAAATATTATATTGGATCGGGTTGTATGCCGCAACAGTGATATAAATGGATCGGGTTGCACGCGGCAACAATGTTAAATGATAAGGGATTGGGTTGCACGCCGCAACAGTGTTAAATGATAAGGGATCGGGTTGCGCGCCGCAATAGTATTATTATCGTTTTGTTGTAGATCTTGAATCGTTCTCTCATATTTCTCGTAAGTTTCTGCTGGATTTGATATTTTCCCTGTATCATGTACCCCCTCCCATTTAAATTGTTTATTCCTGTTTATTTTCCTCGTATATTATATGACTGCACAAGTTTATCTGGAGTCTAGTTCTAGCCTCGTCACTACATCACTGGGATTAGGCCAGGCACTTACCAGCACATGGGGTCAGTTGTGATGATGCTACACTCTGCACTATGTGCAAATACTGGAGCAACATTTGGACAGTAGCACTTGGGGAGTTAGCCTTCAGTCCACTCAGAGATCTCGAGATAGTCCTGCAGTCGTCCGCAGGCCCGGCGTTCTCTTCTACCTATTTATATGTTCTATTTCACTTGTTTTCTAGACAGACTGTATTTCCTTGTTCAGACGTTTGTATGCAATATTCATAGACATACCATAGATATTGTGACACCGGTTTCTGGGTAGAGACGCATGTTGGCATTTTCGTACTGATTTTGGTATTATATTAGTCTAAGTCTTCCGCTTTATTTCATCTTTCGCTATTATTTGAATGTTGATCACCTATTAATTCAACTCGTTAAAAGGATGAAAAAAAATGAAAGTGTTAGAATTTTTATATTTCGTGGCTAGCCTAGCTTCTACGAGTAGGCGCCATCACGACCCCCGAGAGTGGAAAATCCGGGTCTTGACAATTTCGTACCAAGTAAATAGTTAATCCTAGCCTAACATGCTTCACGTAATGCAATTAAGGCAGTTTAAGCAAATAGGCAATTAAGTCAACTAAACATATTTTTCTAAACTAGCAACAAGCTAAATTCACAAGCAGAATAAAACAGGAAAAAGAACGCAGTTGAAATACTTAAGGAAAAATCGAATTTTCAACAATTAGCTCAAGTACGCGCTCGTCACCTCACGTACAAGGCATTTCAATTATCAAATATATCATATCCTAAGGGGAAGGTCCCCTGCACGAGGTTAGACAAGCCACATACCTCGAATCAGCTCAAAATCAATCCGACACCACTTCTTTGCCACGAGTACTCGACTCCAAATGGCCCATATTTATCCAATTCAAATACATAATGTAAATAACACTTCAAGTAACTGATTCTACAATTAAAGTCTAAGCTAATGGGCGAAATTATGAAAAATGACCAAAATGCCCCTCGGGCCCACGTATCAGAATTGGGTGAAATTTAAATTTCAAAAATCTCGTACTCTCACGAGTCTATACATAACAAGAACACTGAAATCGGAGTCCAAATGACCCCTCAAATCCTCAATTAAAGGCCTCATAAACTCAAACCCTAATTAACCATTTTTTCCCAATTTATCACCACTAATTAGGAGTGTGCATTCGAATCGGTTTATCGATAAATCGAATCCATTATTTGTTATCGGTTTATTGATTTATCGATTTTGATTTCGTTTTCGAAATTTTCCTTATCGAGCTATCGGTTTCGATTTCGATTTTTTCCTCTTCGGTTATCGGTTTATTGATAAACCGATAAGATATACTTAAAAAGACAAATATACCCTTATTCTATAATACCCTTTCCTTTACCCCAAGTCCCTAACACTATTATTTCCTCTACCCAATCTTCAACGCCACTTTTACCTTTATATAAACAGAAGAAGCCTCCAGCTAAAGTTACTGACTTAGAAACCGAGCTTGCTCAACTCCAAGATGAGTTGAAGAAGGTAAAGGATCAGCTCACTTCATCCGAGTCCTTAAAAAGGAGGGCTCAAATAGAGGCAGAGGAGCCTAAGAATCAACTCGCAGCAATGTCAAAGAAGCTCGAGTAGTCCGAGAAACAACTAGTTGAGCTCTCAGATTCTGAGGATGCTCGAATCCTGAAACTTCGTAAGATCTCACAAGATCGAGATCAAGCATGGCAATCTGAACTCTAGAAACAACTTATTTTAGCTTATTTTTATCCATATTAGTTAGGCGTGTTTATAGCGATATACTTTTCGTGGAATCCCGCAAATTTTCTTATTGGTGTAATCGATAACCGAATCGATAAGCCCCAAAAATCAATAAATCGAAATCAAAAAAAAATCGAAACCTTATTGAAACGATAACGATAAGCATATGTACAAATCGATAATCGATAAGTAATTATCGATAAGGGTCAAAATCGAATCGATAAATCGAATGCACACCCCTACCACTAATTAGGTCTTTAATCACATAAAAACGAGTTATGAAGTCAAGGATATTACCTCCAAGCGATTCCCCTTTGTTTTCCTCAAAAATCTCTCTTAAAAGCTTCAAACCCGGATGAAAATGGTGAAAGAGTAGCTTAAATTCGCGAAGGCAACTATTTATATGTTCTGCCCAGCGATTTTCGCATTTGCGACCCTGGGACCACATCTGCAGTCCCGCTTCTGCGGAAACTTCGTCGCATCTGCGACTATCATTTAAATACCAGAAACCACATCTGCAATTACATTTTTTGCAGATGCGACACCGCTTCTGCGGTGTCCCTTCCACATCTGCGAAACCTGAAGGAAAGGCCAAAATCCGCTTCTGCGGTCCCTTACCGCTTTTGCGGCGCTGTATCTGCGGTCCCCAAATCGCAGATGCGAAAATACCAGAAGACCAGCTGCTGCCCAACTTCAACTCTAAAATTTGCTCCGTTAACCATCCGAATTCATCTCGAGACCCCCGAGACCTCAACCAAAGGCATCAACATATCCTAAAAACTTATTCAAACTTGTATAAATCTTCAAAACACTTCAAACAACATCAAAACAACCAAAACACATCGGATTCAAGCTTAAGTTTCTAAAATCTTCTGAATTCCGCTTTCGATCAAAAACCCAACCAAAACACGTCCGAATGACCTGAAATTTTGCACACACATCCCAATGACACAACAGAACTACTGCAACTCTCGGAATTCCATTCCATCCCTCGGATCAAAATCTCGCTATCGAACCGGAAGCTTCAAAACTTCGACCTTTCGGCATTTCAAGCCTAAATTAGCTACGGACCTCCAAATCACCATCCGAACACGCCTCTAAGCCCCAAATCACCTAACAGAGCTAACGGAACCATCGGATTTCCATTCTGAGGCCGTCTCCATACTGTTCCGACTACGGTCACTTTTCCAACACTTAAGCTCTCATTTAGGGACTAAGTGTCCCAAAACTCTCCGAAACTCAAAATCGAACATCCCCACAAATTGAAATAGCAGAAATAAACTTGGAAAAAGCAGTTAATAGGGGATCGGGACGTAAATTCTTAAGACGACCGGTCGGGTCGTCACATTTATATTTTAAATTAATTGAAAAATAAATAAATTAAATAATTAAATTATATTTAAAAATATTGATGATAAATTTAAATGATTAAAAAATTTCGAATAAGAGGATACAAGCATAAAAGTATACAAATTTTAAGAATAAAATATTTATATTTATTAAAGACTATTAAAAAGATAATAGGCAAGATATTAATTAAATTATTAAGCTAATAAAAAATTATATGACAGTATAATAATATTAAATAATAAATAATACAATAACTATAAGAAAAGAACAAAAATAAAAAAAGAAATTGCATAAAATGATGTGATGAATAAGACATATTTGACTTTCAGTCAAAAACAAAGTGATAATAAGAATTTTCTTAAAATAATATGATATAATGTGCTCAAACAACACAAATCACAATATGACATATTTAGTATTTTTTAATATTGACACCGAAACGAAATACAAGTACTAAAACCAAGGGATTAGGTTGTTACAAATAAAATAAAAGTTGTCTACTACGAGATTTGAATAATAATTTCTTATCTTGCTTCAAAATTAATATTTAATGTTATATAATTTTTATATGAAAGGTTTTTTAAGGTTATTTACACATAATTCAAATAACATAGATTACAATTTGACATAATTTGTGTTCGCGCATCGTGCGGATACTAATACTAGTAATATAGATATAGATAAATAAGATAAATATATATAAATATAGATATAGATATAGATATAGATATAGGTGGATAGATAGATATAGATTCTTAAAAAGATTGGAGTGGATACCTATGAAAGATATTGGGCTTTCCATAAACAATCGCCAGTCCAAATTCCAAAAGGCCCCTTCAATTCTAATATTTTGACTATTCCATCAACCAATAGGAGAATTTTCTACCGGATCTTCCCCATAACTATTCGATAATTTCAAACATCCATACAAAACTTATCCATTTACACAACATGTCCTCTGCGAATCTCAATCTCTAAATTCGATCCTATAATCTGATCTCCGATGACCACTCTTTTACCGTCGCCGGAAGTTTCCTCATTCTCAGCCGGAATCCATCCGGTGAGGACTTCTTCTTATATAAACCCTAGAAATGTGCAGAAGCTCGCTGTTTCTAGGTCGGGAAATAGGGGTGCTAGGGTTAGGGTGTGTTCAAGTGTAAAGGATTTGGAGGAGTCTCCGCCGCTGAAGTCAGGGAGTAATTTAGGGTTTTGTGCACAGTTCTCTGCTCCTGTGGAGACCAGCACGACGTTGTCTACAAAAGTGAACGAGGAAGAGGAGGAGAAGCGGAATTACTATCTGAATACGGGTTACGCTATTCGGACTATCCGAGAGGAGTTTCCTGCCCTCTTCTATAAGGAGCTAACCTTTGATATCTACAGGTTTGAGCTTTTTAATCATCTATTTTGCTGTTTCTACGAGTTGTTAATCTAAATTAGCTTAGGTTAGCTTCACAAATCATAGCTAGTCCCAACTCCCAGGTCCGAATAATAGAGGAGAGTTTCAATAGGTTGACCATTAATTTTAAAGATAGTCTAATCTAATTATTATGAGACTTCTGAATACACTGAAGCCGAAATGGGCTTGAATACAGTGGAATGATACATAAGGTTCCTATAGCTGACCTTAACTATTTTGGAACTGAGGCGTAAATCAGTTGATGCAGCTGCTGTTCTGGCTGTTTTGAGCTAGAAATAAGAGCAAGCATAGGCAAATAAATGAAACTCAAATAGGAATATGTTCGAAACTCAAGCTCCCGAGCATGAAGAAGAGAATTTAAATGAGAGGGAGAGAAGTGAACAATCACTTTTCTCTTTCTATATCTGCATTTCAAGAGGTTGTATTACCCTTACATTTGTATGGTACTGGTGAATGTTCTTTTCGATGGCTCTTTCCTTCTTATTTTGTTCGAATACTTTAGGTTGCAAGGAGTCTAATGTACCAATGGCTTAGAAACCATCTTAAGCTTAGTGGGTTAAAAGTGTTCTTTTGGGATAGTTTAGCGCGTTTTGCTGCAGTTCACTTTTTAGCTTAAAGCGTAGCAGTTGAATTCATTCCTTTAATCATGGAAGTCTCCGGGGCTTTGGATATTTGGACAGGGTTGCCTAAGCTGTAAACTGAGTTATATCATATGAACCATGTGGAACTATACACCTTCTACATGGGGCTTTACTTTTATATCGATAAAATCATCACTCTTTCAAACAAACAACAACAACAACAACAACAACAACAAGTGAACCATTTGGGATGTCCCTAGTTTTGTAGAGAGGATTGTATAGGGAGCAATAGCTGCTCTGTCAAACTTGTGTGGCTTCACATGTGATTCCTTCACTGAGAACGAGAAGGAAGTCTCACAGAACGAACAAGCACTAAAGAAGGGGGTGGGACCTCTCGTAAAAGAAAGAATTGACCTCGAGCCAGGTCTTGATTGTTTATTCCATTTTGTCAGTTTAAGTACTGGAATGGGAGTTACGGATATTCATTCCTAAACTATGTCACCAATTGGTGTCACTTTCATCAAGTAACCAACAGAGAGACTTCCAAGGGCCTAAGGTATCAAAAGAATGATCACTTTCACATCTTCTATATTTTCTTTTGAACTGGTTTGTTCCCCAACTAGCTTGGGTTGAGGAGTTGTTCTTGTGGTTGTTGATTTAAGCTGGTTCATGATCACCTGATTATATCAAGGAGGTACGAGGAAAGGGAGGGACTGGAATAGCCCATTTCTAGAAGTTTAGTTCAGAGAACCCATTACTAAGATGTAATTTAGAATTGAATATTAGTATTTATGCAGATGATGCAGAAGCAGCTTTTGGGGAAAAGAATACAGTAATTTGTTCTTATTTAGCTCCACCCTGCTGATGTTGCGTGAATTGCGCATGCATGTGATTGTGCACTATGGAACCTAAGTTAGTTGAGAATTAATAGTGTGATGATATTTTACACAATTGCGACCACGTTGAATAATGTTTATAGGTGCTAATGGTGTTCTTCTGCTCTATATAGGGATGATATTGTCTTCAAAGATCCACTCAACACTTTTACTGGCATTGAGAATTATAAATCAATCTTCTGGGCTCTACGATTCCATGGCAGGATGTTCTTTAGGGCCTTGTGGATTGATATTGTGAGTGTATGGCAACCTGTGGAGAACATGATAATAGTTCGGTGGACTGTTCATGGCATTCCCCGTGTTCCTTGGGAGAGCCACGGTCGCTTCGATGGCACTTCAGAGTATAAGCTTGATAAAGATGGGAAGATTTATGAGCACTGGGTTCACAACATTGCTTTGAGTGGACCACCAAAGTTCCATGTACTTGCTGTGCAGGAATTAATTGAATACATTGGCGGCGCCTCAACACCAAAGCCTACTTTCTTTGAAATCTTTTCCCCTACCTTGAGGAACATCGCTCCAGTAACGAAATTTTCTAGGTTGAGGCGGAACCTGGGCTCAATTCTAGCCTCCCTAAAGAGAAATGAGGAGGAACAGTCAGATCAAACATAGCATTATGGTGAAGTGCCAAAAATGATTGGTAAATTTTTTTACTATATTCCAGACTCACACAATACGTACAAGTATATATGTACTAATAGAACTCCCGCAGGGGCAGCAAAACATATCTGGAGTTCTTTTCTTTTTTGTTTCTTCAGGAGGGTATCCACTTCTCTCTACTGTATGCTTCTTTTGAGCTCCAGCTACTGCCTTGTGAAGCGCAATACTTTGTAAATATTTGTATAGTATAGCATAAAATGTTGCTTCCGTCAGGAGTGTTTGCTCTGCATTTTGTAAAGGTACTAATCCTCGCCACTATATACAATGCCTTCCTCTTTCTAGCCACTTCACCATGTCATTAATAATTATCTTTGTTTGTAAGTTGTGAATTGCTGAGAAATCTAATCTGTCCAAACATCGTTTCAACAACATAATACTATACAATATAAAGTAAGGTATAAAACCATTATGATATGATATGATATGAAATAACAATCCAAACAGGAAAATCGTTCTTTGTCATGTTTGAATTTCTCCAAATTTCTAGTCATTTCCAGGTAGCGGGATTATTGCATGGTTATACAGATTAAAATGCATTTTCTTGGAGAAAGGACCAAATATCGCTATTTTGCCTATCGTATTAACCAGGTGCCTCCATATACAACAACTACAACTAAAATTACTCCTACGTCTTAGCCCAAGCTGGTGGATGTTGTGGTTTATTTTACAAATTTGGAGGAGGTTCATTAATGAAACTTTTCCTAATTAACGACTCAATAGTGTAATTAATGTGGTCAATAGACTCAATTCGAGCTATTAGTTATGGTAATAATTAATCGCTTTTTCATTACTCTCTTTTTCCTATTTTTCCTTTGAGCGAGAATTTCCTATGAATTTTTGTCTTTATTGTGTTTTGCATGCTGTAATTTAGGGGGCGTTTGGATATAAGAATTGTAAAATTCCAAAAAAAAAGTGAAATTTTCAAGCGAAAATGGTATTTGAAAATTAGAGTTGTGTTTGGACATGAATATAATTTTGGGTTGTTTTTGAAGTTTTGTGAGTGATCTGAGTGAAAATTTTGAAAAATAGCTTTTTGAAGTTTTTCAAATTTTCGAAAAATTTCAAAATGCGTCTTCAAATGAAACTTGAATATTTTATAACCAAACGCTAATTTCGAAAAAAAATAAAAAAATTTAGAAAAAAATGAAAAATTTCTTATGTCCAAACGGGCTCTTAACAAAGTATAGATCTAAACTAAACAAAGTTTTTACAGACAAGCAAAACACAATATACGAAGTTAGCCCAAGCTTATAGTCTCATGGTACATAATAGTGTTCAATTCTCACTATCTCAACAGGTGTAGTTAAATCCTCACTGCTTTCTCTTCCCTAATCCCTAGAATAATAAATTTAAGAAAAAAATACAGTAAGTCCTCAAAATTCTATACTATCAACACATCTCTTTTCCAGGAGTTTTTTTTTCTTTTCAAATTCTTAATCCAATCTGCCCAACCCATCCATGAATCTATTCTCTATCTAGCTCTCAAAACTTAAAAGAGTTGCAGTTGCATGAGTTAAATTTGACTCTCATGATTGAAAAATAAAAAACATTGAGATTTTTACACAGTATAACTGCCTCCCAATGTAATAGCCGGAAATGTATAATTTTGTATATTAATGTATAATATACATATAATATGCATATTGTATATAATCAATGTATATTTGGCTAGCAAGTTTAATTATTTTTGGTAAAAATTGCACGGGGCGCCCTATTTGATCGCCTCCATTTAACCTATACCCATTTTTTTTTAAAGTTTTAACTTGTACCCACTTTTTAAACAACTTCAACCCATTTCTCCTTCTCCTTCTCCTCCTTCGTTTTCTTCTTCTTCTTCTTCTTCTTCTTCTTCTTCTTCTTCTTCTTCTTCTTCTTCTTCTTCTTCTTCTTCTTCTTTCTTCTGCTGCTGTTGGTGCTGCTATGAAACTTCAGTTCATGAGATGATTGTCATAAGTATGTTTATCAGATTATTTTAAAATAAATTATAAATAATTACGTAAGTTAGTAGACAATAATTTGTGAATATTTCCACGTAATTCTATTCTTTTCACGTTTATTGTTTCCAAAATTTATGATTTAGATACTGTTGGCAATCAGATTATATTATAGTAGTAATACACTATGAAAGAATAAGGTGATTATTTATCTAGTATGTTAGAAAGCTTTAAAAAACTTCAGGTTATATAGTGTTGAAGTTTTTACAAATGAACTAAATAACTTTAGCATCTTCTGCTGAAGTTTTTTGAAAAAGCTTTATGACAAAACTAATGAATCCAGGACAAAAAAACTTCAGCTTATATAGTGCTGAAGTTTTTAAAAAAGCTTATCCTGGACAAAAAAACTTCAGCTTATTTAGTGCTGAAGTTTTTACAAATGAAGTAAATAACTTCAGCATCTTCTGCTGAAGTTTTTGAAAAAGTTTTACGATAAAACTAATGAATCCAGGACAAAAAAACTTCAGCTATTTTAGTGCTGAAATTTTTACAAATAAACTAAATAACTTCAGCGTCTTATCCAGGACAAAAGTGAGTACGTTTGCAAATTTTTTTTTGCAAAGCAGACACAAGTTAAAACGTGACCCAAAAGTGGGTATAAATGCAAATCCCCCTTATTTTTGTCCGACCGAATAAATGTATTGAAAACCCAAAAACATTTGGGCCTGCTCTTGGACTAAATCCGTTAGTATGATTTAAAGCGTAGAAATGACACTATGTAGCCACTCTAAATGGTTTGCTATTTAAGAATTAGCCAGCACATCCGGAATTTTAATTTTTCAGGACAAAAATGCCCTAAACTGTCCTAAGTTAAGATTTTTAATTTAAAATTTCAGGAGAAAATAAGTACTAGCTAATCTCTAAATAACATATCTGAGAATGGCTATCTGTGCACTTGCCCCATTTAAAGCTTATTAACTCATAAGCCCAAGTGTTTAGCCGTTTGGCCCAATCTACGAACTGGATCAAGCAGTTCTGCTTTTCTACTCGCAGTAACAAATACATTTAAACTGTCATTTTTATTTTACTGGTGTTGGTAGTGGGATGTGGTCATGTGGATATTGTGCATTTGACTGAAGTTAGCCAAGGGGATCTGTCTCATCCATGATCTTTTTTTTGTGAAAGCAAATTGTTCTGCCTAGAGTTTCTTTGGTAGTGGTTTTGTGCAATTTGTGTAAAAACATTATTTTGCAGTAATCTATCTGAGCAGTTCAGCTACTTCATTAATTCTATATAATTGCTTCCTAGACTGTACAGATTCATTTTCATGCTATTACTTGATATAGGGTTGGCCTTACTTGTCCCAACTCACTTTAGAGATCAACCAAATTTCTGCATAGATATCTGTCATTTAGATGCTTATGTTATGTCTTCATGGTTCTAATATATTCTTAAGCACACCACCAACAACAAATCCAGTGTAATCCTATAAGTGAGGTCTGGGGAGAGTTGTGTGTACGCAAACCTTACCCCTACCTTATAAAGGTAAATAGAGGCTGTTTCTGATAGACCCTCTGCATATTATCATACTAGGTCATTTTGACAGCTGATGCATCATTATTCTCCTCAAACTGTAGTTTATCATGCTTGGCGTTGATTGCCTTAATCATGGTACAAAACAATAGAACTTTTCTTATTGGTCAGATGAATTTTGATAATGGAAAATGTCTGATTGATGAGATGACTGATATATTTAATTGGCCTTGAAATGCCATGAGCTGTTCTATTTATTAAAAAATATAGCACCAAACTAATAGGCAAGTAGTCGACAGACAAGTCCTGTTCCTTTGTAAATAAGTTTCCAATGTCAGTTTCCGACCTTTGATTCTGCCCTTTCTTCTACTAAGAAACTAAGGACCCATGTCTGTTTCAGCTTGTTCTTTTCTTGTTTACTTTCTTTCTTTCGTTTTCTTACATTTTCAAGAAAAGTAGGGAAGCAAGAGTATTGATTCTTTGTAGCAGGGATCTCCTCGTTGAATGGTTAAATCTTTTTCTGTTGTTGATTGAGCTGGAAATGATAACAATCAAACAAGTTCTAGTTGGAGAAATTCACCTCAGGCTTTACCCATAATAATTCTGCTGTATGAGAGTTGGAGCATGGTTTTTATAGGATGAGAACTTTCTTACTCAGATTGCTACTTTGTGCTTATGCTAAGGAAGCCGTGGCTTCACGCCACGGTTAATCAGTTTTAAATTTTATTTGAATTGTAGAAGTATTCTTTGGTTTGTGCTTTTGAACTTGCTTAGTTCATTAGCGTTGCATGCTCTAGTCTCTTAAAACGAATGCCAAGTTTATCCTTTTAAATACGGGCCAAAACTATTCCTAGACTATTGGAGTTGGTACAATAATACCTTTCGTCCATCTATTTTGCAAAAATTACCCTCATCGTTACTTTTCTGCTCAAAACTGCCCTTACGACTAACAGTCATGTTAGATTAAAAAAAAACTTAATTAATTTCTACGTGTCATCGTTCCATTGGCCTAACTTAAAACTCACCTAAATTAAAATAGCAGAAAAGGGTCAAAACTGTCCCTAGACTATCAGAGTTGGTACAATAATATCATCCGTCTCAAAAAAATCTCCCCCCCCTCCACCTCCCCTCTAGCGTGTGTGCGTTTATGTTCTTCTCATCCTTTTTTTGACCTTGCACTCTATTTGAATAATCACTACAAACACCATTAATGTTTTATTTTTAGATAACGAAATTTTTTAGTCACAATACTTTACGTCATACAACTTTCACCCGAATATACAACTTTCTTCTACATTGGCTCACCATAGTCTGAACATCCGATCATGTTCATAAATTAAGCTGTTGTACGAGGATGCTCTTCAGGTTATATCAACACCGCCAATTTTAAAAAGAGAAGGTTAAATCAAGAGGAATATTTGAGATCTTATGCCCGAGAATATGAGGGAATACGGCCTATTGGAGAATGTGACTGTAATAAATACGTGATTGAGCTTATTGTATGAAGCAGTGAAGTGTAGTAAGAAAAATTGATGATGAATGGTATCTCTGTGATGGAAAAAAATAGGAGTATTGATGTGTACATTTAATAGAGAAAGAAATAAGAAAGAGAAAGGTGATTAACTATAAGAGAGAGTTTTATTTGCTTAGAAAAAAAATGAGTGTATGAGAGTTCTAGATGTTGGAATATTTTGAAAAGAAAGAGGAGAAAGAAATGGAAGATGGAGAGGAAGAAGGATAGACTAGGAAAAAGTATTTTTATTTATGGGTCTTAGAATGTGGGTGAGTTTATTTTAATTTAGGTGGTTTAAGTTAGAC